CTTTTAAGGAAGTGAGATGTTGAAGCTGATATGGTAAAGAGACCCAATCCTCTCGGCCAAATAAATTTAATTTCTCAAGGGATTTTATGTGTTTGATACCGTCGAGAAAATCTTGAAATGAATTGAACTTTGAGAATTCCCCAGTCGTCAATTCTGTTAAGCTATTAAGGCATCCAAGCCCACTCAATTTAGGAAACGAAGTGAGATTATCACATCCAAACACCTTCAGATGCCGTAGAGATCCCATCCCACTCATTTCAGGAATTGATGTCAGATTACAGCAACCAGTCAACTCTAGATGCCTAAGCTTTTTACACCTATGTAGATTTAGTTGTTCAAGAGATGACAAATTCCCAAACCAATTGGGCAATTCTTCCATTCCAAAATCCCATATTGTCAATTTTTTCAGGGAAGTTAGATGTTGAAGCTGATCTGGTAGAGAGACCCAATCTGCTTGACCTTCCAACCGTAATTTCTCAAGTGATTTTATTTGTTCGATACCGTCGAGAAAGTCTTGAAATGAACTGAAGTGCATTGAATTTGAGAATTTCCCAATCTTCAATTCTATTAAGCTGTTAAGGAATCCAATCCCACTCAATTTAGGAAACGAAGTGAGATTATTGCATCGAATAACAATTAGATTCTGTAGGGATCCCATCCCATTCATTTCAGGAAGCGAAGTGAGATTCGGGCATCCCTGCACAGATATACGCTGTAGAGACTTACTACACTCTAGCATTTCATTTGGCAGATTGCTCAACTCATTACACTCACGAATGTCCAAGCTCCGAAGGGAATGGAGGCCTTCTTGTCCATTTTGATACAAAATTGATTGCAGATTTCGACAATTCGATATGTGCAATGTCTCAAGAGACTGGAGGCTGCCTAGGTCATAGGGTAATTCCCTCAATTCACCACAACACAAAATTCTCATCTCTTTAAGAGAAGCTCCGCTGCCTCGCAGGTGGGGAACATGAGTCAACTTTTCACACTGATATAACATCAAATATTCAAGGCAAGGAAATACCTGCATTCTGCTCGTTTGTGCTGCTTCCCACTCTGTTAGGTTCGGTATTTCTATTTGAAGATGTTTAAGTGACGGGAATGATACTCTTGTTCCTTGGCCATCGTTGCTGCTAGTTGAGCTGCAATCACTCTCTCCATAGAATGATGGTCTTATCGATCTTACATTTGTCAGATTTTTGAGTTTTAGATACTTGAGGAGTGGTAGGTGGCCGAGCATTGGGATTTCTTCGCATTTGTAACAATCACCAATTTTGATCTCGATCAATTTATCAAATATCACCAGACGGCCAGCGATGCCTTTATATATTCCCATATTTCTAGTCCAAAATGGAAAGTCTTTACCTTGGAATCCTTGAATCCTTAGGCTTTTTAGCTTTTCATGAGGTTGCAGCCCTTCAAGTACACTCTCGTCATTGATGTTACTTTCTGTGGAATCCGTTGACGATCTCCAATGAAAGTGTAGCTTATAAATGTTTAGCTTTCCAGCCATATCTGCATGCTCAGCTTCTGTTTTGCCGCTCACCAATTCCAGATTCCGTATTTGTAGTGTGCCCTTAAGATTCTTCAACTTTCCTAGCTCATCGATTCGACAACCTTCCTTGTCACTCACACAAAATAATGGTAATGTTTGAAGGCAAGATAAACTTCCAATTTTAGGTGGCATCTCGAAATCATCGTGAACATCATCAAAACAGAGATGCCTTAAGCGAATCAAGAATTGCAGATCTCTAGGAAGTCTTCGAAAGCTGAAGTTGTGTAGATTCCTCAAGGTTTGCAAATTGTAGAGCTTGGAAACAGATTCTGGTAGAGTGGTGAGATTATAATTTTTGGACACATCAAGATATCTCAAATGTTTCAACGTGCCAATTGATGTTGGCAATTCTTCAATATCTGCTTCACATAGCTTTAGAGAATGCAAATGCTTGAAGTACGGCAAAATTTCATCTGGTAGGCTGCTTCTCAAGAACAATGTGCGGAGATAACTTTCTTTCTCTTTCATGTCCTTGCGTGTTTCCTCTCCAATTGATTCTATTGCAAGGTGTCTAACTTGAAGATTGTCATCAGCAGTACGACCATCCATATTCATGAAAATTTCTGATTTCGAAACTGAACATGCAAGATCGTGGACAAGATCGTGCATCTTGCAGCTTATGATATTGCCATACTCGTCCTTTTCGGGCTCTTGGAAGAAGAAATTTTGCAACAAAATATTAAAAAAATTATTGCCTGTGGTCTCCATCTCCCTTTCTTGGTTATTCGGGAGAAGTCCTTCCGCCATCCAGAGCTGGATTNCCGCCATCCATAGCTGGATTAAGTCTTCTCTATCCATGACCGAATCCTTGACAAATAGTGAACAATAGACAAAACATTTTTTCACCGATGCAGAAAGTAAGCGATCATAGCTTACCTTTAAGACTTGCAACACACCCTTCTCACCATCCTCAAGATTTGAAAGCCCGGACTGTAGAATTAAGCCCCACTCTTCTATTTCCTTTCCTTGCAAAACTCTTCCAATCACATTTGCTGCTAGAGGTAAACCTCTACATTTGCGAGCAATCTCCAATCCAGTAATCGCAAATTTTTCTGGTACTTCTTGACCTTGAAATGCCATTGTTCTGATTATGGACCAGCAATTACCTTCTGTCAATGACCTCAAGCGACATGGTTGATCGCAATTGTTCACAATAGATACCACCTTTTCCTTACGTGTGGTGATGATAATGAAATTTCCTTTATTGGAGCTAACTCCCACCAGAGTATTTTTGAAATCATTCCATTCATGTGTTTCTTCATTCCATAAATCATCAAGAACAATCATGTATCTTTTGTCTTTTAATTCCTCTGCAGTCTTTTGAACAACAGCTTCCAAGCTATCTCCATCAAATTTTTGGTTCAATAATAATTCCAGGATCCTTTTAAAAAGATTCAGCTGATCAAAATTTTCTGATACACAGACCCAAATCCTTATGTCAAAATGGGTTTGTGTACGAGGGTGCTTGAAGATGTTGCGTGCTAAAGTCGTCTTGCCAAGCCCTCCCATTCCGACTATGGGAAGGACCGAAAGGACATTATTGATTGAGCTGGTTATCGTCTCCAGAATTTCTGATTCATCAGTTTCTCTTCCAATGACAATTGGATCAACAGTGAAGCTGGTAGTTTCTATCACGAGAGGCTTTGCAAGAGGATAATCTTTAACTCTGTTGAGGCCAAGGCTATCAGCTTCGTTGTTCATCCTTTTGAAGTTGGCACTTATGCCTTTGATTTTGTGAGCCATCTCCCTTTGAAATGTCAGAGTGGTAGTAGTACAGCAAGGGAAGTTTAAACATCCATTTGGCTTAATCTCGTCCTGGATCTCTATCGTACGACGCAAATCTTCATATTTGATCTCGTCCAAAACATTGTCGGCATCATACGCAACATCTTTGAGGTCCTTGAGCCAGCTTTTAACAGCCTTCTCAGTGATTTCGCGCTTCTCAGCATCTTCCAAGACTTGGTTGACCTTTTCCAAGTATTTTTTTAGGTTTGCTAGTTCGTTCTTGAAACCACGCACAAGATTGATTTCTTCAGCAGCTACAGCAAACAACTTCTCCAGTATAAATTTTACGCCTTCAATAGCCACAGCTTCCATTTTTTTCTTGCTTAGGAAATTTGGTGTGAGTGATTGATTGATTTCGGGAGGTAGAGAAAGAGCGAGAGAGAGAGAGACAGAGAGAGAGGCGGATATAGATTGCCCAGTGGAGTTTTTTTTTAAAAAGGGAATGATTCAATTGCATTTGCATCTATTATTAGAGAAGGGCCCAGTTTGATACCTACTCATTTACGTTTCTCTCTCTACTGACTTAACCATACACCGTATAATTCAAATCCTAAATCCAAATCCAAAGCAAGAAAGAAATGCCTATGGTTCCTGCCACTTTCCAACCTGTAGTGGAGAAGTTAGTCTAAAATCATCATTACTTAATACTAAAGTTTCTATTTGGTAACCACTTTTTTAAAATTATTTTTTCACTCACTCATTTTCAATTTCATAATCTCACAATAAAATATTCTTTTAAGTAAATTTAAATTTTTTTTCCTATTTTTTAATCGTACATTCTTCAAAAAACTACTATTCAAAAACTCATTTTGTTCGAAAAAAAATAGTTGCCAAACAAGGGCTAAATTAGTTACCTTTTAACATTATGAAATGGTACCACATCCATTTTAACAGTATTCAACTTAGTGTCTCATTTGATTAAAAAATAGACAAAAAAAGTATAATTAAAGAACTAAGAAAACAATTGTGTCCACTATTTTTCAGTGTTCTAACACGCGTAATGTGTTGCGATGCATCGAGAATCAAGAATCACAAGTTTAAGAGTGTCATAATGCATTTCGTACTTTTAATATTATTTTAATTATTTTTAAGGTATTAAATATATTTTTATATAAAAAAATAGATTTTTAATATATCATAAAAAAAAATTTACCAAAAAAAAAAAATGGGATTAGGCGATCCCGCACATTATCTCGCCTTTTTGAACCAGATGCATTTTTACATGCATAGGCCGAATTCAACGCGTTTTCGACCTGCATCGCGCCTAGGCGACGCATTTTCGCGCCTTTTAGAACATGGCTATTTTCGGATTTCCTAATGGGTCATATTATGAAAGTATGTTTAAAGAGATGAAAATAATTGTGTCCCTTAATTTTAATTGTACTAACGAAATTTCTCAATTGTTTCGTCACATTAACATATCTTATTTTCGTGTGACTTGTCAATTCAATCCACCAGCAACCACATATAAAGATTTTCCACAAACATTCGCCGCCAAAAGATTGAATTATTGAAGAAAGAAAATATAGCATATTTTCATGTCTTGTACATTCAATCCACTAGCAATAACATGTATTATTTATATATATTTTTTTATCTTTTTGTCAGAGTCATTTACGCGTTCAATAACTTTCAATTGAAAAGAGTCTCAATGTCTCGCGAAAAACAATTTAATTTTTACGTAATTAAATATAAGTAAAAAATTTTAGAAATTATTTTGGTCCAACATATATTTTCTACAAATAAATGTGTATGATTAAATAGAGATGAAAATAATTGTGTCCACTACTCTTGGATTTCTAAATGGATAATTATAAACATCCCAAATTTGTGTACTATATTTTAATTGCAATTAAGGCTTTCGATTTTTGCTCCTTTTCGTACTTATATTCTCGAATTTTTTCGTCTCACTAACATATCTTATCTATGAAGACGGCTTCTTTTGCCCCTCCTCACTAGCTTGTCTGAGTTGTCGATTTAGCTGTAATATCTCTGCTTCCAGCGGCTATAGCACACAAATGTTGATAGTTATGAAAATGTTTTTCTCATTTTGAAGCCCTCGAGGCTTATATCCATGCATCTAGTCAATAATTTTATTCTTATAGAAATCGCTATAAACTCCATATCAAAGGAAATAACGAGCAAACATTTAGGATATCCACTTGAAAGAGTGTGAGCGAAACTTGACTACTCACCATAAAACTCCCTTATACTAGCTTTCCTTTCATGAAGACACATGGTAGTCTTAGCATCCTCAAATACCTACAATTCCTTCGACCTCATCAATTTTCACTGACTACAACAGAGTGCAATTTTTCGAGCATAGTGCAAAGTATACGATGAGTAAAAGAAAGTAAAATCATCTTGTAAATAAGGATTCTAATTAACCCTAATGCACCAGCAAAGTGACAATTAGTCCACTGGACGAGGAACAGGAAAATGTGGGCACATGGGCTGTATGATAGTCTCATTTGAAGGCAAGCATCATCATATTCCCTTGGATAATTTGAAGCCCTGTATCTCAAGAAAATTATTAATTGAATCAGGCTCGGAAATATACATCAAATCTGTTCTAAATTCTTTTGTCCCTTCTATAAAAGACTAAGTGGCCACGATATTAATATCTCAAAATGTAAAATACAGTAAATTCTCAAGCCTTTCAGCTAATACTCTTAATTCTAGCTTCAAATAGAAAGACGCATCAGATAATAATTACAGTGATTGTGTTTTCTTTTTCTTTTCTATATCCCAAAAAATTGAGGGTAGCCGACAAAAAACTCGGCTATTGATCATGTTGGGCAATGACAGTTTATTGCAGGAATAAACTTGAAGCCAAAAGCAATTAACTAAAGTGATGAAATAAAAAACAAGAGAGCACAACACCAATTTTACGTGGAAAAAACCCTCTTCAATGTAGAGGGAAAAAAACCACGGGGAACTCCGGTCAAATCCACTATAATCAAGAGAGATTACAATATTCAAGTTTAAGCCCTAACACTTGAATGTCAACAAATTGAAAAACCACAATAATCAATCTCCAATTTTACTACTTAGAGAAGAAAAATAAAACCTGTGTGAATCCACACCCAAAGGAAACAAAATCCTTTTTCTATTTCTTTATTTGTTCTCCCAGTTGAAGTCGGCTTTTCTCTCCCACGACCAGCCACTGTTTCTCTCTATTTCAGCCTGATTTTTCTCTGATTTTCAGCCCCTATTTTCTCTGTTACGTGCAGCAAAACTGACCGAAGAAAGGAGAAAAAAACCAGCCTCTGTTTTTCCTCCTAATCTCTCACACAGCAGCCTGGTATTTCTCTGAATTTCAGGCTGTGTTTTCTTCTCTGTTACGTGCACATCTCACTTGGAAGAATGGGAAGAACAGGATTAATATGTAAACTTAGAAGCCATAGTGGATTGGGCTTTTAACTTCCTCATGGGCTGGACCAAGCCCATATAACAGATCATGCCCCTATCATTAAAAAATGCACAGGTAAACCCCTTTTTCTGTAAGCTAACCAAGTTGACATAAACCAAACATTTCTGCCAACGCAATTTGTGAATACAACTATTGATTAATATGTTAAGGCATCCTCATTTAGCACAAATCAAGAATATTATATCAAAATAAAACAATATGTCTGATAAAATGAGTAGAGGAATTAATACCATCATCCACAAAACCCGGTCTAAGATGCTGCAGCGCGAAATAGTTAGTCTTCACCGGAGAAATCAACGGAGCCACCGGAGATGGCAAAGGAGACGAAGAAATCCCCGGCGTTGACCCATTTCGTCCCTGTGGACGAAGCGATATTAAATCCGATTCAAGATCCGACCTTGCTTGATCCGGTGGCGTCACAGAAAAAACAACAGCAACCTTTTCCTTTTTTCTTGTTGCTCGATCGATTGCTTCACAGGAATCCAGACACCAAAACTTCAAACGGGATTTGAGAGGAGGGAGATAGGGGAGGGAGAGCAATTGGGGCTAGTAGGGGTGGGCGCGGTTTGGATTGGTTTTTGCCCAAGCCCAAACACAATCCAATATGATCGGTTTGATCTAAAATCAAACGAACTCAACCCGTATAAATGTCTCAATCCAACTCAATCAAGTGTCAGTCGGGTTGGGTTGGTCAGGTTGCCAAAAACCATCTTTAAACTCATATAAATAATTTTGGAAAAAATGCATAAATTTATTTACTCTTTATTAATTTAAACTTTAAATAAATTAGTTCAACATTATATATGTAACGTTTCTTTTATGCTCGATATTACGAATTAATCTCAATAAAAATTATGAGGAAAAAAAAACCATACAATAAAAGCTACTTATCATATGCCAAGCCACTATAATACACAAATACCAGACTCAAATCAAATTTCATATCCTTCATAATGTGACCAAAAAAAAATAGCATATAGCCAGCCCCTTTCCAATGATCAAGTATTCTTCATTTTTTTTTAAATCTACAATTGTTAACTTATTATTTTAATTAACCTGCCACTCTTCGTTAAACAGACAATTTCTGACAAATTTGATCCTTTTTTTTTGAGAATAAGATCATTCAACATTGAAATAGCAAATGGTTACAAGGAGACAAAACTCCAACACAATGCCCTCCAAAGAGAGATTAAGTGCTACCTATGCCAAAGCATATGCTACCACAACAACAAAAGCCAAACAGGCCCAAACCAAACGAGAAAAACAACACGAAAAGAACCAAAACAAGGCTGAAGAATCAAAACATGCTCCCAGTGACCGGAAACAGACGGCCAGAAATTCCAAAAACTATGGCTCCCTTAAGCATCAACATCAAATTAAGCGCTTCACCAAAACAGTTAGTAGAGATCCATAATAACCGGAAGGAAGCAACGGCGAGCCAACAACAAGGGATCCGCCGCACCAGCCAACGCAAACAACACCGCACCGCCCCCAACTCTGGCAACGAACAACCCGACGGAAGCGGACAGACCAAACAACACAAACAAAACAAACAACAAAAAACTAAACAAACAAAACAACACGAACCAAAACAACACAAAAACAAAAACCAACAAACCAGCCAACAATCTGTTGGATATAAAATTTGTATCT